CGTATTCAGCTACAAAATGACCCCCCCCCCCCCCAGATCCAGCTGGGAGCAGGAAAAACATCAGCAGGGGAAGCCTCTGCTATGCATTAATTAACTTGCGTTTGCGTCGCCCTATGAATCGTTTCATTCTCCTTTGATGCGAACAATTTAGAGATTTGTAGGTACATTTCGTTAAAATCTGAGCTGGGTTTTTGTCTCACTGACGGAAGTTTAGGTACCAGTTCAAGTACAAACTATGCAGTGGACCCATTCAGCGTCCGCTTGAGGAATTGGGCAAATTAATCTTGCGATAATTTCTCACCAATGTTTCTGTTCGTCACTGCTTCAACCGAGTTTGTAGTAGACGTACATACCTACACAGCTAAAAAAAAAAGTAGTGTAAATTTCCGTTACTATGATGCACATAAATGGAGCGTCATAAATCATACAAATTTACATTATAAATCGTATAAATTTATGAGAAATATCATGCAATATTCCATATATTGTATGCAACTTTCCACTTTTGTTTGCAACATTTCTTGCAAGCTGCTAGTTTACGTGAAAAGGAAGTTTACATGCATGAATGTTTGCATGCATGGATGTTTACATCACCAGTAAAATTCAGATTTTTTTACTGTGTACTTAACAACTAGTTAGAGCAGCTGCATGACGCGCCACCGAGAGCCATAGCGAGTGGAAGAGGAAACTCTGTGATGACCGTGGAAATTAGAAATCCTCACTGTTTGTAGTTTTTTTTTCATCCAATAATAAAGCGATTAATAGAAGCTCATCATCGACGATAATAATTTGTGTGGCTAATGCTGATGGTTTTTCTACTGTGCCTGAACGAAGCCTATACCATGAGTCCATGAAAAGGCAGTCGAAGCGATAGAGTTTTATACTTGCTCTAATTGGCACAGATGAAAAACGATGGAAATGCGATGATTGATGGGTCTACGAGGTAAATCAACAGCGGCAGCACCAGCAGTAGCAGTAGCGAGGTAATGAGGCTCAAAAATGTCCTTCAGCCGAAGGGCTTGTCCGCTAGATTTCGGCTTGTAATTGATCTTTGTTAATACCCGGTGACAAATTAGGAACCTCAAATAACCAACAGCAGAAGCCTGTCTACTCCGGGATGGACCAAATAAGTGTCTCTTAAATTGGTCGAGTAACGAAACAACTTACTTACAGTTGTTGGTTGGCTTGTTTGAGATGTTGACATTCAGCCCGGTTGGTGTCTGAAGCAAAGAGTGATTATCTTTGGAGAAAAGTTTGCTCAAGAGGTAATTTCGTGCACTTTGAGTAATTGATGCCAACTTGCAAAACTTACCATTATTGATGAGATAAAAGGGTGACAAGAAAAGCAAAGTCGGTGCTGATGCTAGCGTATGTTGAAATGCGCTCGTGCTTGTAATTAGGTTTAAAGTCCTATTTTTCGAAAGATAACTTATTGTATGATGTGAGGACGTTTTGTTTGAGCTTGTATTTAGAGAGGATATTTTGGGGACAATTCAAATATGACGTAATCTCATGAGAGAGGGGTTAATAGAATTCGTGTAATAAGGAGAAAACAAAATGAAAAAATGTCATATTGAATTTCCCCTTGAGAGACAAATTTGTCCAAAAGTTGTTGTTCAATGTTAACGATTTTTCAAATTTTTTTAAAAAATATTAAGGAGGTAGGTAATTTTTTTTATTTAAGTTTTTTTTTAATATGTATATTGTTTCTGAAAAGGAATAATTTTGTCCTACAACTTTGTCACAGACGTCATTTTGATTGAAAGAGAAGTTTTCGAGCTATGATTTGTTAAAAATATCGAATACGCAATTTTGAAGTATTTTCCGAGATTCAAAATGCCCGAATTTTAACTCAAAACTGAATGATTGTCCAATACAAACAATTATACAAAGTTTCATGCAAATCGGGCAAGGTTGCGTCAGGAACTGATCTAAACATTTTCATGCCGGCTTAAAAAAAATTGAAGGGTGTGAAATCGTCAGTGCTGTTGGATATACTAGCAGCGCAGATCTATTTTGTATAAAATGGTCAACTTAATAAAAAAAAAGAACTATTCAAAACTAAAAATTAAATATATTTTAAAACTTTTGTTCTGCAAATTTTTTTGACATTTTCAACTCATTTGTGGATGGGGATTTTTTGGATTATGAATAAATGTAAAAAGTTAAAACTCAAAACTGACCTCAATTTCAAACTATGAAATCAGCCAGTATTACGAACTACCTAATACTTTCACTTTCCTACAGGTGCTTTAACAAAATTGGCATTTGGATATCTCAAAATTGATCAAACTTGTAGTTCTGTGGCGAAGATTTCAGCTAAATTGATCATAAGAGAACAAAGTAACAACATGTAAAAGTTGACCATTTTGTTTAAAAATTGGCGCACTACTATTAATACGAACTGCACTTCAATAAACTGACGTAAACATTACCATAAGCATCCGTTTAGATGGAACAACTTGCTCAAACAAATCGAAACGACTTTTTCTTCCGCTACCAGCTCGCCGCTAGGTCTTCTGGGTCTCATTGAACGATTTTACCACACGGGACACGGTCGAATTTTCGATTCCAAACTGTTTCGCGATCCACCTGTGGGACTGGCCTGGATTTTCCACGACCGCTCCCATAATTTTTTGTCGAAGCACTTCTTGCTTGGAAGCCATCTCGATACCCACTTGACAGATTGTGGCGAGATCTTGCACAGGTAAACATTACACTCTAAACTAGTTTTACTCAAAATTACATCAATTTTTAATCATGCATTAAAAAGTTATACACAAAAGAAAGTGTTGTATTTTTTTCGAGAACAATCTTTAAGGACGAATTTCTTGAATTTTTTGGAGTGTTCTGTATCGAATGCCTGAGAGAATCTCAAATATTCTTTAGAAGTATTCTGAAAAGAACTCTGTGAAGGGAAATGGATTTAAAGGAAATGCTTGAGAATCCTGTTAATTTTGAACGAAATTTGATAGCAAAATTTTGACGCAGAAACATTTTTTTTAATTTTTTTTTTTGAACTTTACGCCGGCATTCAACTTAGTATTCTTTGAGCACTTCTACTTCCACTGCAACAATTTTTTATTGTGAGCTTTCTAAATTTAGCCTCGAACAGAGTCATGCTACTGTGGGAGACTAAATTTAGGTACCTATTTAGGTAAATTGTGACATGGCAGTGGATACCTGCTGATTTTTAGTACTTATACGAAATCTGCAAGTAGTAGACGAAATACGCGTATCTGTCAAAAGATAAGCAATTATAACGGAATTAAAGGAAATAAACCAACACACTCAAAGCTCTTCATAAAGGGATTCCGGTAAGAGGTTCGACAAATTTAAAAGATTAAATATTTGTTTTATTTTTCCATAGGACCCTCAATATGTGGAAGCATTTAGGATAAAGCCCTTGTCCTTTGAACTTGCCAAATCACTAAATTAGAACAAAATGTGTCAAGTTGTGTATCGAAAAACAACCAGTCATATCGAACTTTGCCATTTTTACCATAATATAAAATGTAAAAATGTCATGCTACTTCAAATGCATTGTTCATAAATTGTGCTATGTTGCTTACAAATAAAGCTTCATACTTACTTGCTGAAGAAAGCATCCAGCTAAGTAGAAAATCAAAAATGCTGTGACCTAAAATGTGTGTCCGCTTTATAAAGTGAACAGTCCTTAGTCTTGGTTTATAGCTGCGCCTTTACCAACTGAGCAAAAGGAGGCCCTTTGATTTGAGTTACCTTGAACAATTTTAATTTTATTAACAAAAAAATAAATTGTAATAACTTTTCCAAGTTTTAATTCAAATTTTTCCAAACGATGGTTACCCAACTAGGAGCAACTTGCAAGTCACAGTGGGTCGCGACCCATAGATTGGGAAATGCTGTCCTAGGGTCTGGATTTTCATTAGAATCGACAATAAACGCTATCTAGCTAATGTCTTTAAAATAACCGAGCTTCTTCGGTAGCCGCCAACATTAAATTCTCACTGCTTGTTATCTGTCCTGCGCAATGTATCTATTAGCATCAAAGTAAAACATTAAACTGAGACTAGTACCATTCCATCGGTGTTTATTTTGCCGCAGGGGCGTCGTTGTTAGCATTTTAATTAATTCAAACCTATGGCGAGAAAGTTGTACTCTCTACCTGGCCATTTCTGGAACCAGTTTTAATTATGCTGCTTGCTACAGTTATTGCTGCCAAACAGGCGCAACAACAGTGGCAAATGCCCAGCCGGAGACCTTCACCTTCACCCAGACCTTAGAAAATCGCAGAAGACGACGAGCTAGAAGAACAGCCCTTTAAAAAAAGGCGGGTCGTGAGATTTTCTTTTTTTTAACTGGTAACCATTATATTGCTACCACCTAGTTCCTCCACCCGCGCCGCGTTTTATAGAAGAATGTGCAACTGTTTTCATTTTTCTCACCTCACCTTCCTCTCGCGTGATGCAGGCTCCGATCGCGACGACCGACGACGTCTCAAGCTAACGGTGCACGGCTGATTACTATTGTTTGGGCTTCGCTAAGTTGCTAACTAACCGAGGTACAGTCGTTTGAAGGCGACTCGTTTGATTCTGGGTAGATTTATTGAACCGGTGTGTAATAGAAACTTTGACATTTGCTGCATAAAGGTCATGGAAGCGACATTCTGTTTCGGTTCATCGGATTTGGGTTGAAATAATCAATTAATGACGATGAATTTGGACGTTCACATTGTCTAGTGTTTGAGGCAAAAAAAAAACTATTTAGATTAATGAGCGGAAGAAAATATTGATTTTGCTTTTCATGTAGCGAGCATCGTGCATTCACTTTCCATGGCTAATCAGCCTTGACCATACCGAAAGGAAGCACTTTCAGCTGCATTAAAACAACTAATGGTATTTTAATTACACTACCGAAGTGCTTCGCCAAAATTAAAAACGCCTCAATAAACGACACTTCCGTTTCTTTGCCCAAAACCGCGGAGAATATAAATCATACACCAACAAACATCAACTTACCCCAGTATCCGCCGCGCCTCAAGGTCGAGTGGTTTTTCCGCACCCGTTTCTTCGACTTTTTTCTCTTCACTTTTTTCTTATGATTCACGTGCACGATATTGATATCATCAAACTCAAACACATCGCAGTAATTTTCATCGTCATCGTCGTCTTCGCCCTCGACGCCCTGCACTTTGCACACCCCTTCCCGGCCTTCTCCTTCTTCCTCCTCTTCGTCGTTATCGTTACTGTTGTCATTGGCCGTTTCCGTCGTATCATCGTAACATTCGCAATCACTATTTACCTTCTCGCACCGCAAGCAGTACAAGTTTTCGCCAATGCTGTTGATTAAGAACTCATTTTCACTGAACTCGTCGTCATCGTCACACTCTTCTTCGTCTTCGTTTTTCGTCTGGTCCGGTTTTGTCTTACCATCGACCGACGGGAACACGTTTGCCAGCGAAATTTCATGCACTTGACCTTCTTTCGCGTTACTTTTCACCACATCCAAGGTTCGATCCGCTTTCGCCGGCGCCAGCAGCTGAAAATTGGCATCCGATGAGCGTCTAAACTTCATCTCCTGACCTGCCTCTGCACCATTCACCCTGAGATCCACATAATTTAGTGGTTCCATAGAGCTTCCATATGGGCGAACTTCATGGAACAGATGCCTTTTTGCTTTCCCTTTCTGCTTCGCTACAACCGCACTTGACTTCCGCTTGTCAGGATGTGGAAACATAAACTCCATCGACGTTTCCGTTTCCTTCTCCTGAAAGTATTTTTTCTGCATATCATTCTTGAACCGAATCGTATCGTTTCTAGTCGCTATGAACGAATCGTAATAATCGTTCTCCTCTTCCCCAACATCATCCCCGTTGTAGTCCCTGTAGAACTCCTTGATCGCAGCCTCGTTCATTTTCTTCTTCTGAATGTAGTAATGTCTCAGTCTTTTAAGATGTTCCTCATAGAATGCTTCCAGATCATGCATGTCCTGATTATACCTATGAGTGTTGCAAAAATTCTCAAAATCACGGGCAAAGTCCGGAGCTTGCTGGTCTACGAAATCATCCCCCAACTTTGTCCAGTTTTCATCGTAAAGCTCTCGGAAAATATCTTTGCTCTGCATACGGGATTTCCTCATAGAACGTTTCCTTTTCGAAGAATTCCTCTGCACAACCATAACCCGCTTGAAGTACCCATCTCGGCTAACCGCTAATTTGGGCTTTCTTCTTTGCAGGAGCGTTGCCTTCTTCGACTTCCGCCGGAATAGATTCTTCGGTTTCGTAAGCGTCAAGCTGAACCCGGAATCCCTCGACGACATCGACTTGAACGATTCGTTCTTTGTCTTCGGAACCGGTAAACGTGGCGCGGCAGATAGGATGGAAAGGTCTTCCTCTTGGCCTAGATTCAGCTGCTTCCATATCCTACCGGTGTTTATAGAATAGAATTCCTTGTTTTTGGTAAACGGGTTCTCCTTGATACGCAACGCATATGGAATACTATTCTCAGGGGATGGAATTTCCGTGTCGTCATAAACGGTCTGGTCGTAGAAGATATTGTTTTCCTCTTCGAAATAGTTACTCGGAAAGATGAATTTGGGTTCGATGCGTTCCTTCGACGAGGAACCTCTCTCCAGTTCAAAATTTTCGTGACTTTTGAACGTATGGTTCCTGCAGTCTTCGACATCCAACGTAGCTGTTTTCCCGGCCGATTTCTTAACTTTCTTTTTGTACTTGTTCTTCTGATTCTTCAACTCCACCGTATTGCTCTGCATGTCTTTCTCGTCAACTTTGATGTCAACGTCAATCAGATCCAAGGCTGAATCGTTACTCAGCTGTCTGTTGAGGTTATCCGGTTCCTTGTCTTCGTATTCCGGTTTTTTCATATCGGTGGGCTCTGGACCACTGTCGATGGCGGGAATTCGTATGACGATGCCTTCTCTAGATTTGCTACGGATCATCTTGAATGTTTGGGTGTTGATCTTGGGACGGGTATCCTTGAGGGAGGATGTTTTGGCTTCAATACTGGCCTTTCCATTGCTCGAAGGGGTCTTCTGAAGGCTTGCTGACTTTTTGATGATAATATCGGACTTGGAGGCATCTTGGGTTAGCGTATCCTCTGGATAGCTATCGAAGCTAGTTTCCAGGTACCGTTCGTTGACGTGGGTTGTCGATTGCATGAATGCATTCGGTTCGCAGTACGTTTTGATGGTAACCAAGGTAGGCAGTTCCTTGGTTTTGGTGGTTGTACTGAAACTACTGCGGAAAGACTTTTTAGAGGAAGCGTTCGTATTGTTCATGGTATTGCTTTCGATTGTGAAGGTACTGATGCTGTAGAATGACTTGTCGTCGGTGTCTTCTGCTTTCCTACTGGTCGACTGTACTTCTGGTTCGTAGGAGTAGACTGTGCTTTCGTCTTCCTCCGGAATCACGTCCGAGGCGTTTATGTTTACGTGGGATACGTTTCTAGCACGACTGTGGGATTCGATGGTATCGGTGGATGTAAGCGTATTGATGGATTCCGTGCTCTTGGATTTGAGATCAGTGGGATTTGATGTTTGCACTTCGGTTTCGCGAGTCTTTTTGAGACCCTGCTTCGAAGGCCTCGGAGGTTTCTTGATCTTGACCTTCTCCACATGTTGAGTAGCCTCGTATGCTTTCTCGATGAGATTTTGATTTTCGTTAATATAGCGATCGTTGATTTCCTGCAGGGCCCGGATCTTCTCATCCAGAGAGGCATCGTTGGATTCCAATTTCTCCTCGAAAGTGAGTTCGCGTACTGGACGAGATTGTACCTCTTTGGGGCCTGCAGAGCTACTGGCTCCATTGCTACTATCGGGCGGTTTCACCAGCTTGTCTGGCTGTTTGATTACCTTGGCCTGGTCTTCAAACTCATTGATGTTAACCAGGTTCTTTGTGGAGCTGCGCAACACGGCAGCGGTATTGCGCTTCCGACCACGCTCAAGATAGCTTTTCCGGATACTGATACGCTTGAACGAATCACTCCGCTTGAAGCTTTGATCGATGCTGGATTTGTCTTTTTGTTTTTTCTTCGTTTTAAGTAGATTCCGAATCGATTCGAACGTGATCGGCTTCATGTTAACTATTCATCAACGCTCGGGAGCGCTCATCTACATTCATACGCTTTCGCATGCACTCTTCTCGCTCTCTTTCTGTGGTCACACAGTGTAACATCGATTTTTACACCTCTCCATCGTGTCTCACCGCTTTGGCGCTTGCCCGCATGCTAATTTTCGACGGTGATCTATAACGAAACGAAAAATCAGTAATCGTATTTATTAGCTCCGGCTTAATTTTATGTCATCTCAACGGTTTATCAGCGAGCAGCAGTACACACACACGCGTTTCGGATCAGTTTTTGACGTAGTACCATTTCTCTTCGACACAAATTTACCGCCGTTTCCGTTAGTTCGAGAGCTTAAGTGCTAATCTTCATCTCACAAATCACCATTCGGGGGGTCTGAAATCGATGCCGTGGCTGTTCATTTCCAGGAGACACACCCTTTTCCCCGCGCAGAGATTCACATGGCGACCGTGATCATGACCTTGAAGGCCGGACCACAAGCCTAGGGCGGATGCATACACCCGGGGAGCCTCAAACTTGAAGTGCAGGAAAGCGCGAAATTTCACGCACGCATGTAAATGACCTACTGCTGCGATCACGCGCGGTTTGCGGTCTAATACGAAGGTACATCAGTTTTAGAAAATTACTTGTGCCGTGCGATCAAGCGTAAATGGGAAATCTCCCCGCTGCTGATGGCGATTAAATCGCACTGAAATATGCAAACATCGACGAGGAGTTGGTAGATTGAAAGGAACGAGAGAGGTGATATAATAATGTAACAAGTTTTAAATTCGTTGAAAACCGGAGGCCTTCAGTGGTTTTTGTTGTTTAGACTTTGATCGCAATAATATGGGCGCGAAAGAGATGAATGCCTAGGGGAGGGGGAGGGGTAGAGCCCAGTTGATGGGTTGTACAAATGTACGAACTTAATCGGCATAATCAAGTGCAAAATAATGAACGATATTTTTCTCCATACTACGATGACGCCAACAAAACATGAAACTTTGGCTGTCGGGGCGAGAGTTGTATGAACTTTTTTTGCGGTATGTTTCGTAACGTACATAATACTCTCGGCGAGTGATGTTCGGAAGGTAATTTGCTCTGGCACCAGCAGTGGTCATTGCCGTCCAACGCGCAGTCGTAGCTTACGTGCTCGACCAGTGCGTGTGAGCAGCATATATTTATACTGAGCTTTCGGAGGGCTGGACAATGCATACTTATTGAACGTGAAGTATGAATTTGCTGACTCACAAACCAGTTGTAGGCTGGGACCGTTTCGGGAATGGTGTGCACATAGTTCTAGCAATTAGGTGGTTCGACGAATGCCGAGGATAGGCATGAAGTGGAAGGGTTTATTTTCCCGAAGTTAAGAACATGGAAGAATGGACCTACCAACAACTATATCGGAAGATTTGTTGCGGTTTAATGAATACTTGTTTAATGAATGCTGAACGCTTGATCTGGTGATTCATTTGGATTTGGTACAGCACATCAGATGCTTTTAATGCGACTCACACGATTTAGCAATCTACCATGGGACTCCAAATTCTGAAAACTTCAAACGACCACATTAATGAAGTTGTGAGGATAAATTTCAGAGAATAAATAACATGTGTTCAGAGGACATGATGATCACTTACAGAAGTTTAGAGAAACCCATTGGATTTTAAGTGTTATTTTGTTTGCTTCAGGGCATTTGCACAGTTTTATTTTTTTCAATGTTTCCGAGCAAATATTTGGTCAGAAACAGGAGTTCCTGTGATTCTAATATAAACATATTAGTTAAGTTGGCTAAAATTAGGCATTAAACGTATTTATGTCTCTACTGACGATAATAGGTAAAGGAATAGACGAAAACTCTTAAAACATGCTATACATATGGGTTTGGTGCTTCCGATAGCCTAGCCAATTAAAGCATGGTACTAAAAACCCGGAGGCCGTGGATTCAATTTCCGGATCGTTCTAGAAAATGTTTTCGTTTGGAAATTTATTCGACTTTCCGAAAAACGAAATTGTTCACTTTCTATTTTTCTGTACAGGGTTTCTAATTTAGTATGACCGAAGTAGGTCACGCTGCGAAATTGGCGTATTTTTATTTTTAATTTGAAATAATAATGTGAAGTTAAGTTTTAAAAATTATGCAGTGGATTGCGTGCCGGTGAGTTGCTGACGAATTGTGGCGTTCCGGAAGACAGCTGACGCACAGCTATGTTTTATTAAAGAAAAAACAGTCATTTAACTGATGCTCATTAAATACGCGTCAATCAAGAATTTCCTTTCTGGTTGATTGAAAGTTTCAATACATTATCAGTGGTTTATTAGCAGGGCTTATCGTGCGTGAAAATAGCTTCAAAATGCTTGCGTTCTTGAATCGGGCTATTGAAACTGCGGTAGAGCTGTCACCTTGTAACTCCCGGATTCAAGCTTTTTGCAGTCATAAGACATGATTGCAGGGTAATTTTTATCCATAATGCCACTACCAGACAGTGAGTGGTTCAAAATATCGATGTTGCTCCACCAAGCTAAATCGATTTCAAATCAGGTCCTGTTAATTTTCCCAAAATTTAAACTCATTTGGATGCAAACTCATAGTGCACTAACCCTTTGAAGTTTATATGAAAATTATATTATTTATTATTCCTATGAGAAAAGTGAACTTTTTGTTCTCAGCCCTCCGCTGTAATGATCTACGGAAAAGTTTGCTATTTGTACTAATGTAAAATTTTCTCAGCTGCAACTTTGCTATAGAGCGCATATTAATTGAAAGTCAGAATAATTAGTTATTAACTATTTAGGAAGATGACAAACTTTTGACATGCTCCATAAACTGCTCAGCAGGCAATATTAGTGTGGTTGGTGCAAATAATAGGGCAAAAATCCAGGCTACTATGTCATAACTGCAAGATGCAGTGTTGCCCTGAAAGTAGTCGATTAATAATATTAGATAGTTTTCGGCTTCGAAATCAATTGATAACATATTAGCTTAAAGTCAAACCAAAAAGTAGTCTTTGGCAAAGTTGTTGCTGTTAAAATCTCACATAAGGGCAGATAGCAAACTGTTCCGTAAATAATTATGACGAAGTGATAGAACGTTGAGAACAAAAAGTTTACATTTCCCATAGCAATTCCCATATAAATTTGAAAGGGTCAGTGCACTATGAGTTCGCGTCCAAATGAGCCCAAATTTTGGGAGAAAAATCAAGGCCTGATTCGTAATCGTTTGAGCAAAACCGATATTTTGAACCCCCCAAAACATATACATAGATATAGAATTAGGCCTAATTTAGTTTAGGCTTACTAAGCATAACTCCCCCGTAACGTGGGTAGATCACCTTTTCGTGGTACGTTACGGGATGTAAGATCTACCACCGATTCCTAGTCCTGACTACTTCAAACTAGGGGACAGGATTTTTCAGTAATCCAAGGAACACATCTTAGTCCTTGTTACTTTTTATGCCTTGTTGATAGTGACAAGACTTGGCTTTGTCTACCGAGGATGATCTTGAAACAAGGAAAAAAATGAGTTAGTTGTCTTCATCTATGTGATTCCTAATCTTCTATTCGTTGTTCTCTAGTTTGAAGTGGTTCTGATGCATGGTCATTATCGGTGTCATACCTCAATTTTGTTGCTAAGGAATCCAATTTTGACTGACAAATGGGCGCGCCTTTGGAGGGTGTTTCAACACTCCGAAGGGTATAAATAGCGGGACCTTTCAATTAGAGTCGGATCCTTGCGATAAATGCAAGAGTGGCAACTGTAAAAAAATCGAATACTTCATCATTTCTCAATAGTGATGGATCAATACGACATGCACTAAACTAAGGACACGGGATATACTACAATAGATCAAATTACTGGTCGCAGTAGTTTTATGTCCCGAACAGAGGAAAAAAAAAAGCATAACTCACACTTTGACTTTACGTCTCTTTTTCGAACGGATTTGAACAAAAAAAAATGGAATGTTTCTAGTAAAGATGACTTCTAAATTCATTTCCTTTACCATAAATATGATAAATAATCAAAAATTGTGCATATTTTGTTAAAAATACAACACTTGATTCAAAATTTAGCCCACGGGTTTCAATTTCGTACAAACCCATAGAACCGTCATTGGATTTCTCTTCATACGGAAAAAGGCAAAAATGAAATGGATTGTTGCAAACAAACTTTCAAACATTTGAATGTTTTGTAGCTTTTGAACTATAATATCGTAGGGGAACAGTTGGCTTCGGCAATACCTTAACCTATTATCGTCAGGGGGTAAACAAAGTCCTAGAGCACTGAAATTTGGCCAATAGTTGCTCTGAAACACAATGTATCCACATGCCAAAATTGAGCTCTCAAGGACGTTGTTTGCCCTCCTGACGATAATAGGTTAAGGTATTGCCGAAGCCAACTTTTCCCCTACCAAACGTATGATTGAATCGTATTAGTTAACGCCGTTAACGCCTAAATCATATACGAAACTGGGCACTTAGGCTGAAGAAAATCTTTTTTAAACGAGACCAGGTGCATATTTTCGAAGTTATTTGTGGGAAAAACATCTTCAGTAGCACATCTTCAGGAAGCATTTTTAAAGTTGAAAATATATTTGCTTGACATGTATATCAAAGGTGTAAGCCAAATGGAAGTGATCCTTAGCTGCTGAGTGATTGTATAACAAATATAAAAAAAAATAGTGTTATTTACGAGATACCGTCGTGGCGGGCTACTTTGAACACTTTCTAATTTGTTGAATCAAATGAAGTAGAATAAATGCTTTTCCACAACTTTTTACTGGAACTGCAGTTTACTCGATCGTATAAAATCCTCAGTTAATTCCAGCAAGCACTGTCTATAATTAAGTGGAAAAGTTTACCAACGAGTTTTGTAAAAAGTGTACCTTTCCAAAAATTTGACCCAAAATCGGTGTTAAAATTTGTAAAAACATTCATAAGCACCTCTTAGGAGTCGATAAGCATTCATAGTACCGGATGGTGCAGTGAGAAGCATTCCAACCCTTAACAAACTTGAATTTTGTTACGTAACAATTAATTATCGGCTCAGTAAAGTTAACGCGATTGAGCTTTTCAAATAAATAAACAAGATAAAAAATAAACTTGGTCATCCATAAAAATTAAAAATTAAACCTATAATTAAAGTGATTGTTTGTTAAGGTTCATTGATTTTTCCCGGTTCT